ACAGTCACTTGTAGCATTACAAGCTATATACATATGTTGCTAGCAAGCCAAGCAGAGGCATTAGTGTTTACTGAAAGGCTTTCAGGCTGATGAGTCTCATCATTTGTATTCATATATTTAGCACTCTTAGTTTGATCACCACCGTCCCTTACAGGCTGCCACCGTTAAGCTGGCACATAATGCATCCCAGAGTCTTAAGTCTGAGTGCACTCACTATCAGTTACCAACTTATAACCAAGTTTTGTAATGTGCAACTTGTGTCACCTGAATGACATTTATTTTAAACTATATAGAGTCACATTAATCAGATGCCCAACATTGGATAGTGTCATGTGAAATTAGTATTATTTTTTATTATTTAGTATGTTTTATAATTTTACATTTTATTGAGGCTTGAAATCACCATGATAAATAGATAGATAAATGAATATTTTATTGAACCCAAAGGGAAATTAAGGCATCTAGTAGCTTACACAAAACCCAGTAAAATGAAATCACAGACAGAAGGTGACTTAGTAGAGGATGTACACAAAGACATCTCAACAAAAGGCATATTAATGCCAACAAGATTATAATTTTCAAAGGTAAAAATTGCAACAAAGATTAGTTAAAGAACATAGAAGTGCACACTGTACACACAAGATAAAGGCTGATGGATAAGAGGTAGGATTAGGGTGTAAATTGTGGTCTTTTCTGCTTATTTACATGCAAAATATGGTAGAAAATGATTACACTATTTAATTTTGGTGATGATGTTTGGACATCCTGACTGTTGTACTCCAACACTCATGTGGCTTTCAAAACCTCAGAACTTGTTGCTTTTCAACTCTCATGCTTGCACAACACCCGGAGCCTGTCTCTAACCACTGCAACTTAGTCGTTACAAATCCATCACCCAGTCTTTTTCGCGAAGACATCTGCTAAACTGTTTCTTCTTGAATGATTAACAAAGAGTCGAGCGAATGGACTCTAATCTGTTATTTACCAACGTCAACGATGTCTAAGAAAAGGAAAGGAAAGGAAACCACTGAATTACACCAGCTTTTTAAACACAAACAAACAGAGGATATCTGGCTACGACTACGGTCGACCGTGTTAGATCACATAAGTGTAGCAGGGCTGGGAGTGTTATTTTCGCTGCTGTGGTCCGCCGCCATTTTCTAACAGAGTAAGGGAAGACATGTTGGGAGCTAACACAACAATAGAGGAGCGGCCATTTCCGACCGCAAAGCTGCTTTTTCTTTGACCCAAGATCACGACAAAAACAAATACATTGGGTCTTCCCGATAAATAATACGAACCAAAACGACATGTTTAATAAAAACACGGCGTTATATTTAGCATCTCGTGGAAAATCAGCCAGCTTATACGTGTTAGATAGATTAGCAGGCCTCATACGACTGTCACTCTAGACTAAGTGTCATTTCGTAATCGAAAAGAAACGAAATATTATACACAAACTGTGTGAATGACCAGAAAGAAAACGGTTTTACCTGATGTGTGGGATTCCAACGCCTCCTTGTAGTATTTTGTACAGCTTACTTTCGTATAACAACTGGGGGTGTCTGGCTTTCTGTGACTCCAGTTTGACTGCTACCTCCTGAAAATTAAAACAATATCAGAGATCAAAATGTTATTTTTATATAAAGAGCCACTTGTGCACTGTCGATGCCGAAACGTGACGTATTGGTAGCTCTTGACAGATGACAAAAAGTTGTGTTGCAACAGGCCTCAATTATTATTTGACTTTTATCATCGATGTGTCTAAAATAATATCAACGAAGTAACCCACCTCTCCATTTGTGATGTTGATGGCTAGATATATGTCGCCAAAAGACCCCGAACCGATTTTTCTAACGAGCTTGTATTTTCCACCGACTATGAACTCGGCTTTGGAACCACTGCTGCTCGCCATAATATCCACAGAATGACGATGTTCACTCAATTCTCTTTAGAAAATACTGCGTGGTCTTCTGCCTGGATTGTCAACAGAACATACGAGTCCTTAAATGTCCAGTTGACGTCGATTACAATGATAAGAGACTTGTCCAATACCAATCGGGTCAACCATGTGAAAAAAACAATTTGCTAAAATGGTTCCTTTTCCTTATTGGCTAATGTCCAATGATCCAATTAAACGTAAAACCAACAAAGAAAACAGGAATTCGGCGTTGGTATTGCTGAAAAGACATCCAGACTAAATCGGATCAAACATTCGGCCTTCAACAGTCAGTTGCCTCGCAGCAGCAGTCTATTCCAGTCTAACGCTGCCCGATGTTAGCATCGAGCTAATGCTGTCAAAAACCGTCGCGGAAAAAAGATATCCAGGCCTCCTTTGTACTGGAGGCAATGTGTCCTTTCAATCACAATCCCGGCGCAGGTGTTGCCTTTGCAAACTTTTAGATTTCTTTCGTTCCTACGAGAAAACTTTGAGGGCCGCCGCTGTCTGTACAAACGCAGCCCACTCACTCCGCCATCTTGTCTCCTCTAGCCTTTTTCTCAGCTGGTTTCCGTAGGAGGCGATTAGCTATGGTTAGGTATCTCACGATGCCTTCACGGTCCGTCAAACAAAACGGAATCAAAGCCATGTCACGTAGACAAGGGCATGTGACGTGAATTTGCAAACGAAACGAACACACTGTACCTGATGAATCCCCCCACAACTACAATAAATATTGCGTTTTGAGTCTGCCTTTGTATTTACTTCATAATGCTGTGTGATATTGTCGTATAATTACACGACAACACACACCAATGTAACGAAGCACATTCAGTTGTCCCTCATCTTCAGTTATTGAGCAGCCAACGTACAGCCCGTCCAATCATACAGGAGCAAACAACTTTAAACATTACAAGTCAACACAAAGGGAACTTTAACATTAAATATCATAAATTCTACCTGTCCTGAAACCACAGACCTGTCGTTAGCAGTGGACTTTTAGTGTAAGTTCAGATTTAGGCATGCGGTGGTTTATTATGAATTACTCTCTATATATGTTTATATTTCTACTCTGCCACCACGTGGAAATGTCTGGATACAAACTAGAAGAAGAGAATGACATAAAAAAGGACACGGTGGTAGTTAGTGCAACAGAAGAGGGTTATGTGGCAGATAATCAGCTGCTGTGACCTCTGAAGAAGGCAGTCGAAATTATTTGCCATCTCAGTAACTATTTTTAGATTAACTTTAACTTTCTATGTTTTGCTCTTTTACAAAATACAATACATTTCAAGCTGCAACGCATTTTAGAAATCTATCTGACATCAAGTGGGCTGCACTAATCATAAAATAAATATAATGATGTAGGTAATATGCTACGTATTTGCACACATTTTAACGGTATCGTTGAGGTAGTCTTTGTTGAATCTGATCTGCCTCAAACCCACGCTGTTTCCACAATTGACACTTAATGAAAGTGAGCTGTTTGTTTGTTTGTTTTGTTTTTTTTTTGTTTGAGAGGATTTTGTCTTTGCAACACAGCAGCCAGTTTCTTCCAGTCTCCTCCAAATGTTTCCTTATCTGGTCGTACACACAATCACTGACTTTTGATTCACATTCGTGTGAATGTAAACTAAAACATGCTGGTTGGTTGTTAGTTTGTTCATTACCCCGCTGTGAGTCAGTGAAAATTCCAGAGACGCACCCAGCAAGGTGCATTTTTGTTGGTTTAAATATGTGTGTGTGTTGTCCTGGCCACACCCTCCTGACATGTCTTTACAGCGAGATCAGCAGACTTTCTCTCGCAGGTTTGTTTGTTTGGGAGTGTTTGTGGAAAACTAGGGCTGACGGTCTCACCTAGTGTTCCCCTGTAAAAGTCTGAGTACGTCTGTATTTGTTCAAGTATCTTGAATGAGCACGAGGAGGTTCTCCTCTTTGGCCTGTAGGTGGTGCTACCTACATATTTGAAAGCCGTAGTCCCTGACTGAAATATAATTATTCCAAGTGTTTATAGTTCAAAAACTGTGTATAAATACTAGTATACTGTGTATACTATAAATAATTGTACATTTCATTGCTTTGATCAAAAAACAACAGTCGTGTAAATACAGAGAGAACCGGATTTATTTGAGTTCAAAGCAGGGTCATACTAATGTAATATCACACAACAACAATAATGTAAGAAGTTTCTCTGTCTAATGCCTGGGTGTAATTCACCCGTGGCTCAGAGAGGAAGTTCTGACCTTTTTTGACTGTGACCTCCAATGAGACGTCAGCCAGAGGTTGTTCCACATCCACGAACAAGTCAATGAGTCAATGTTTTTTCTTAACATACTATCTAGAGTACCTCAGATGAATTGGATGATATTTATTTCTATTTTCATTTTAAGATTTTAGTAGAATAATCATCATTCAGTTTCCTGTGTCGGAGGTGCTGGTTTTCCCAAATTGGCTAAAAGCGTACAGCACAGTTGTGTTATAGCGCCACTATGTGGCAACACATCTTGCGATGCTATCACAGTTGCAAGATTATCACAGCTACTCTGTCAGAGCTACTACAGCGTTTCTTCAGATTTCCATGTTTTTTTTATTGCAGCCTGTAATGCAGGTTTGTGCACAAACACACACCAAAGTCAGCCTTACATTTAAATATAAAATATGACTAAAATATGATGTGCTAGATTTTTTTCAAATGTACATAATTGGTTGAATAAAGATTTAGTTTACAGATATAAACTTTATATCAAACCCTTGAAAACATGCTAGACTTTAGTAGCATTTACACACAGGGCTTTCGAGAGCATCAGTAGCAAAACAAGGGCAGATGCAGTGGCAACTACATAGCCTTCAAAGATGAGGGGTGGGTGTAGGGGGGTCAGGAGCACACATGAACACAATCACTATGCCACTGCTGAGCTGAAATAAAAGTGTTCATGTTTTTCTCTATCCTACTAGTGTGTACCATTTTTGCTCACTGGTTCACCCATGGTTTTCTGTGTAAACCATCTTGTCCCAAACAAACAATGTGAAATAACAACAACAGTCTGTTTTCTTCACTTTAATAGTTTTCAGAGCAGACAGCAGTACATGTGACTTGAAGCAGACAAAGACACAAATAGAATGTTGATATGCCCCGCCCCTAAGAACAGTATTTCCAGGAATCCCCCGTTTGATGGGTCAAGGGATTCCTGGGAAAACTGGACCCCAGGGGAGAGGAGGGGGAATGTATTCCAGATCCATCATTGTTCTCACACTCATCATCTTCATCATCATAGTACGCTACCGTTACTGTTGGACTTCTATCCCCCGTCCCGAGCTACAGTGCTTCATCTCAGACTACCAACTGACCAGAGATGCAGCACTGCACCGTGGGCCACAGGCAAGACAAGGGCCACAGACCAAAGGTCACAGAGCAAAGGTCACAGAGCAAAGGTGAAACACACGACGCCGTCTTTGAAAATAGTTATTTTAGATGTTTTTATAAAATTTGACATTTTACCTGTTGAGACTCAATGATTTCCTCTGGTAACGATGACTGCTGCTGCTGCTGAGGCTGCTGCTGCTGAGGCTGCTGCTGCTGGTGCGGGTGGTGGGGGGGGGGGGGCGTGT